ATATGCAGGATGTATTTTCATTGTTACAAATTGAACATAATTAAAGCATAGTGATTAATCACAAAAACAATATGTAATTATATATGTGTTTTCCGATGGTCTTAGGCGACCCCTGTGAGAGGGTCGTTCGATCCCCAAAGGGGTCGCAACCCACAGGTTGGCGAGCCACAGGTTGAGAACCGCTGGCCTACAAAGTTATTTCAACACTACAAGTAAAATCCCTCATGAACAGAAACAACAACAAAATACTAACAAGCAATCAATCTGTAAAAAAGGGAATGCACCTGATCAGTGGGGTTTATCCAGATAATGCAAGGCTGGCTCAGCATTTGAAAATCATTTAAGATAATGAAGCATATTAACAGACTAGAGGAAAAGAACACACACACGATTATATCAACAGGTGCAGAAAAAACAACAACACAGTTCAACATTCACTCATGATAAAAATTCTCAAGAAACAGGGATCAAACCAATAAACAACATGTACAAAAAGCAAAACAAACCCATACAACTAACAATACTTAATGATAAAAATAATAGATGCTTTTTCTCTAAAATTGGGAATAAGGCAAGGATATCTGCTCATTTTATGTAAATTATAACTCAATAACCTTGAATTAAAAACACTTTATTGGTGCTCTGAAGCCAGCACATGTTTAAGGCCCTTGATAAAGTTTATCTTGGGAAAGACACTTAGGTGGCCAGTTAATAGGGATTTACATAGGCAAGCCCCCAAATCCAAAGTTCCTGTGTCTGAAAGCATTTTACTTCCTCTCTCTACACCAGCAGTTCTAAGTGTGGTCCTGGATTAGCAGCATCGCCATCATGGAGGACTTTTTAGAAATGCAAATTTTCAGGTTAGACTCAAACCTCCTGAATCACAAACTGCAGGGATGGGGCCTTGCAGTCAGTTTTCTAAAGCCCTCCCGTGATTCTGAAACACAAGAAAATCTGAGAACCAATGCACACAATACTAAGGACTTGTGGCATCTTGGCTTCATTTAGTGTGGGCCTGTGTTGATTCCAATTTTGCAAACTATTAAAGCCACAAGCAGCTTCTTGAGTTCAATGAATGTAGTTATCTTGTGGAAGAGCATCATTAAAGCACATTCAAAATCTATTCCTTCACATGTTCCTGAAGTTCTTGGAGATATAAATTGGAAAAGTTCTCAAATTCCCTTTACCTGTTAGACTTATTTGGATGTGGTCTCCAGGGGAGGCCTGCTGGGCTCTTAACTAACTGGGTTTGGAAATAAAAAGTTGCAGAGGCAAAAGGGGAACTGGCTTTCTCTGATAAACTTGAGCCCCCTCAGGTGAAATGTGAAAAAAGTCTTTAGGAAGAAAGAAACAGCCTCCTCCCGCATGAAGAAACTGCCTTCTTTTGCAATCATATTCCTATTTAATTTAATTCTCAGGGTCCTGATTAGTGATCCAATTTTAATACGTGGGATCTGGTAAGGCAGGGACTTCAACAGTGGCTCTAATTCTGGAGACGCAGCTTTGTTTTTGCAGAGTACTATATCTACAAGAAATGACATTCTTTAGGCTTCTGTAGGTTGGTTAGGGGATTTGAACTTGTTATTTACTTGCCTTAAGGC